GAAATAGACTAGGGGTAGACGAAAACACTTGAGGTTTCCACATTTTTCATTTCCTCGAATCTCCATTTTTAAAACATTTAGACGAAGTATATGGTGGTGCCTTGACACTGGTGAGAAAAGACTGGTACTTTCTAACTTTTTTCGGTTCTAACACAACTTTTTGTATTTTTTCAGGTCTATGACGCAGAGAATGGCGATGGTGAGCTCTTATGGAGCCACACAACGCAGTCGTTTTGCATCGGCCACATGAGTACAAAACAGAAATCACCACGTGTACGTATCAGCCTATCAATCGTTCTGAATTTAATTCATCACCAAAATTTTACCTAACATTGTTTCCACGTTGTTTCAGTTTGTATTTTCAACGTTGCCTGAAAGCAAAAAGCAAGGAAAATCTATCATGGTACAAGGTCAACATTTCAAAGTGCCAATATGATGTATTTGTGTGAATTGAATTTATTTAATGAAACATTCTTGCCGTTATTTGTCGCACTCTGTATCGAATGGAATTCCATCGTATCAAAAATGTATTGTGTGCTGCAAGAACTGTTGCCATTTGTATATGTGCCGAGCCATAGTCAGAAAACCGACCACTGTTCAGCCCAGTGCCGTAGCGTGAACAAAATTTTTGGGATGGCTGAGCCATAAAACTTCAATATAGGGTATTTTGTTGCATTTTCTCGAATTCTACAGGTGGTAATCCATTTTCATAGGGGGTTGCCTGAAAAAATGGACCATTTAAATTTTTAGCTCCATTAAATAATGTTTACATGTGGCGCATCGTCCTCAAAGTTTAGAACTTGGTGCAAGAGAATTCCATCAGATTATGTGGCCGAAAAACCCACTTCTGATATTATAACAATCACCATGAAACTTTCGGAATCCATTTTTTCAGTGGAAATTGAATAATTATATGAAAGTTTCAAGTAGATCGTAGCTTAAATAGTGGTAGCTTCCATACAAATATTTCCAAATCAACATGAAATTGGGCAAAAATTGTAATATTTGTTGAGACGTGGGAGCTACACTTGAGATGTTTCCAAGCCCTTCACCTTATCCCCATTGAGTGCGACTAAAAACTGAAACAAAATCACGATTTCTTACTAATTCTAAAATAACTGTAATTTCTTAAACAAGTGTGCTACATATTATCATCAATATCGTAATATTGAATGTTTATGCGAGTGCCAATTATACAATATATATAATGTCTTTCGAGGAAAAAAGTCTTGGCGCTCATTTGCGGTGGCGCAAAGATTTTTTGGGGTGGCTGAGCCTCGAGAGCCTCTATGCACGCTACGGCACTGGTTCAGCCCGTCAAATAATTAATGAGGGACAAAAGGGAAGCTTCATAATGTATTTAAGCAATGTGTTTTGTTGGCATTGTGTGTTTCATTTTGAGATTTGACGCACCAACGTCACACTGTCTTTTCGACTGGAAAAACGGCTGCTGGCATCATAATGAACTAAATGCTACTGTAAACATAAAGTAGCTAACAGAAAGAAAGAATTTTGTCGTTCGCAGCAAAATCAAGGAATCATTTTGACTTTGACGCTTCTTGTAAATTCACTCACAGTTGTTTGGTTGGTTTGTAGGAGAAGTTGCACCATGTGCTTTTCTTGCGGCACCTTCAATATCCTTTTTTTGGCTGACTCGATGCTTTTCCGGAGCATGCGCATCTCAGTCGGATGCACGAACGAAGAGAAAGAGAGAAAAAACGTACACGTTTCACAGATGTGTCGCTGGGCTTTGTGCCCCAAATCATGCTGTGTGCTTTTACTCCAATTTCAGTGAAAGCCTCTTTGGACCAACTAGCCTACTTGTTGTGTGTCGAAGAACAGCATCGGAGGGATGAAAAGATGGAAGCAAACGGGAAAAAAATTGATATAGCATATACACATACGATGTGAATGCATACATATGGATTCTATTGATACATTTGCTGCTGTTGCTTCTGCTGTCATTGTGTGCCTCATCTATATATATATACACATTGAAATGGCGGAAGATTCGTTTCAGCTGTACTTTGTGTGCTATTCTCTGTTCTGTTGACAGCAAGTGCCAAGACAAAATGACATTTACTCGTGCTTTGTTTATATCTGAGACAAGAGACAGAAAAAATACACATTTTTGTAGTCAAAGTGTCCTTCTTTTCACGCGATTTATCTCAAGAGATTCAAAATAATTGCGAATTCTTCTTCGTTTATTTTTTTTCGCTCGTCATTTTCGTTTGTGTTCTCTGTCGCAAGTTTAGTGATTAAGAAACCGCATTAGCTGTATACATTTATCGTATTAGCCTAAAGTCGTGTGTATAATGTATATATATAGAAACGAAAAGAAAAATACATTGTGGGTCGCTGCCGCACCGAAGAATTACATTGTGAAAAGCGCCTAAAGTTAGGCAAACAAACAACCCAACAAATCGATATAGAATAGCGTATGCATATTCAACGTGTATATAGATTGATGATAAATACATGTGCTTGCTGGCTGACTGACTGGCTGGCTGGCTTAGTTGTTCGTCAATGTGCTTTTTGGGCCCGCTTTCAAATGAAATAATAACAATAAAATTGTGTAAGCGAGATGATAGTGAACAAAGCGGGTGGGCTCATGCTTTTGCATTAGCTCCAACTCGGAAAGCATAGGCTACTTTCGGTTTAATCTTCGCATCGATTTGTTCTTAATCATTATGAAAATTTCAGCAATGTCTTAATTGAAGCATTTACAAAGAAAATACAATTTTGCCGTATGCGATTCGGTGTTTTTGAATCGTTTTCAGTTCCTTGTTTTATCAGCCGTGTGGTCGTTGCGTTGTGAGAATCAGTTCCTCGTTTTTTGAACCCAAGCACATTGTTACGGAAGTCTTCCTTGTTGTTCTTTTTTCATCTTCCCTCGATTGTGCCGTTCCAAAACAAAAGAAGCGGATCAATTTAGATAAGTAAGGTAAGTGTAAAATCGGAAGATGCTTGGGCTTTGTGCCAACGTCCAAATAAAAAACCAATAAATATTTTGATTGGTGCCTCGCACCGGATTATACTCATTCCTCATTCAATGTGTGGCTTAGTTGTGGTTTAGACCTTTTTCTACGAAGCAACAAGTCAACCTTATTGATCCAACCCAAATGAGCCCATATCATCAATTTCCCATCAAAGTTCTTCATTTTCCATTCAGTTTTAAAGGAAACGATGAAACGATTTGCCATCTACAATGAAAATTGGCTGAGCGTCTTAAAGCAGCTAGGTAAAGAAATCAGTAGATATTGTGAATATGAATTTAATTAAAACCAATGCATGCCGTATAAAACCGCTACTCAATCTACTTACCGTATTGAAGAGAAGAAAGAAAAAACAATTTCAAGTCTTATGAGCATATGGTTGCGTTAATCCTGCGATTTTTTTAAAATCAAAATTGCCGCAATTTAGAATAATATCCGTCGTTGGGATGGATCTCTGTGCATCAAAGTCAAAGAATGACTAAATGAACTTTTGTGTTCGTTGCCACATCTAGTTAAATTGCAATCAATTTATTTATATCATTCAAGAATCTTGAATCTCTGCTCATGTCAACGTCATTCAATATTCAAGACGATGAAACCAAACAATAACACAAAATGTACACGACACATTGAAATAGGCACATATTTGAAAAATTCACTTTACGCTCGCAATTTACTTTAGTAATTTGAACGAATTAAAATGATCGCATGTGTGTACATACAATTCACACCCACCCTTCCGTGTATTTTGAACCATTTATCATGACATTGAAATCCAAAATGAGCTTATTACAGCAATTTCAACGGCAAATTTGTGCGAATGACTTTGTTTTCAGCCGCAATTGCCTATGAGCAAATTATTAGAACACAGTAATAGCAAAGAAGTATTTTTCTTATCAAATTTAATACAAAAAGTTTCGCTGCGTCGCTTCCCATGTGACGAATTGCCATGAAAGATGAATAAAAAAAACGACAAACAATTGAAACGAACAAGAATAACGAGATCACAGTATCAGAGAGAGATACTCGATGAATCGTGATGTGAATCATAGCACATCACTGCCCATTTTCAGCACACAATCTACACGCCATTGTATTTCGGACAACAAATAAAATGCGGTCAGTATACTCTGTTGTCTATGCGACAACGTTTATCAATTGAATAATGTGACGATTAGCCTGTGTTACGTGCGAGAGTAAGAGATTAATTTTAATTTAAAATAAGCTTTGATATAACTCAACAACATTCAATTTGTGTAAATGCGAGAGAGAGAGAGAGAGAGAATTTTGCGAGCATGAAACGATCATATCCACTTGTCGTCCATGTGCTACGGCAATAGCCAATCATGTTTTCGTATGATAAGCGCACGGCCATTGTTTCATTTATTATTATTATGATACCGTTGAAAAGTTCACTGTTTGCTGTTCAGTTCGAAGTGTCATCTGAACCGAAGCAAATATGAATGTTGATGTGTTGCAACCGAATAGGTTATCATGCCCATTATTTAATGAATGTAATAGGAATGCAGTAGATGATTTGATTCGAAACATTAGTGTATAACCAATGTTCGGATTACCGGTACAATTACAATTAAATCAGCATATTCATTTCAAGTTAACGGCAAATTCAGAAGCAGTGACCATCCGAGCTCCAAAACCTAACAAAATGTGCAGCTTGGAATAATATTATTTCATTTCATAAACCATTTACATTTTGAATAAACATGAATTCCATTTATTTTAAATTAATTAATGGCATTTTTGTAAACAACAATCAATTGAATCTCAGCTTAGTCATTTCATGGGTTATTCCCGCGATATTAATTAGTATTCAGCGAATTTTAATCCTATTCACAGATAAATCGATTCATGATTTACTAATTTCTTGAATGAATTATAATAAAAAAATTAGTTGTCATTCTAAAAACTCTTCAAAAACGAGTCACTTTGATGCGCGTCATGTATTTTAACACGTTCGCACCGATTGAATGTCGAACACCTTTCACCAGTTGATAACACAAAGCAACGCGAAATGTGCGCGCTGCTTTGTTTGTTTACATTTTTTGTTCGAATCGCATGGCGGTGTCTGGTGTATGTGTCTGTGTGTGTGTGAAGCGTCATATAGTACGGTATATCTGCTGTTCCCATTGTTTTCGTATGCCGTACATTGTTAGGTCTGTCGGTCGGTCGGTTATCCGTTCAGCAATCTGTCGATTCAACTGTGTGTGCAAACAGAAGCAGCAGCAGCAGCAGCGACAACAGCGATTTCCACATCACGATGCGAACATAGTGGAGAATGCGTGAAATGAAAATCCTATTGTATATTGTGTGTATGGATCGGTTGCCCGTGCGCGCCGTACTGCCATTGTATGCGTTCATTGAGTCTCTCTCTCCATCTCGTTGTGTGAGAGTATTTGCGTCAAGAATCCACTTTATCGGATCCAAATGTGTGCGCTTACGAATGATAGGCACGTCGAATATCAAATGGTTCTGGTGTATCAAACGATTTACAACACTTACTACTACCAATTCCTGTATCCCCCGAAGAAAAAAAAAATCACACAACAAAACGACAACAAGAATTCTCTCCACTCGTTGTGTGCTGTGCTGGATCAGCAGTGCATTGCAAAAACAAACTCAGCCGTTTCAGTCTCACGAGAATCGTCGATTGACACAGTCGACGTGACTACCGTCTCTCACAGCTATAAGAAAAAAACAACACAACGAAATTAAGGACACAACGTTGTTTCCGATTACATTTTGACATCCTTTACTCAACTTTACCATATTCCAACAAACGGGGCTCAGGCAACCATACCATGTAAGCTAAAAACCGAACAAAAACGAAACAAGAAAATAAAAGTTGTGCACCTTATTTTTGTTGTTGATGTTGAAATGAACTATAATGACCGTTAGTGAATTCGTTAGTTTGAAGTTTTTGAATCGGTTCGCAAGTGTAATGAAACATTTTTTCTGTTTGAAAATTAGAAGGAAAAAAAAAAACAAAAGGTTCATTCAACTGTGAAAAAGTCTTCGATTTAACAAAACCACGTGATTTTTATCCACCGTTTTTTTTTTTTGAACACACCACCAATTCTTTTATAGATTTCTTTTTATCAGTCTTCCAACCGGAAAATGGCATTCGACCATTTTCAAATGACATTTTTACGGGACGAAGTCAATCTTCGCGAGAAACAAGAACAAAATACTTCAATTAACGTTTGACCTTTATATTTGGTATACCATTTCATTATAATAATTATTATTATCCATACAAACCCGAGTCTTTTGACTTCGATAATCTGGCGCGCGCGCTCGTTGAATTTCTACCAATTGATAAGCAAATTTAAGTAATTAGCACGGGAAGGAAACCTTCAAAAAACGCTTTAATTAAATTGGCTATTCAACGAAAAACAAAGAATATATCGCGAGAAATAGAGAGACAGAGAAATACCTGCAAATTACCTCGTGCGCTTTCATTAACATTCAATGTTTAATCATCGGAAGCTTCGAATGCAAACGCTTGATTTTTATTTTGTTTTTATCATTCGAATCGTCTATTCATACGACGCATCAATTATACGTGATTGGGTTGTTTGCTCTTTCAAACCAGCTCAAATTCATATTATACACATGACATTCACAGACATTCTGTCTACTTGATCTAGTTGCGACATATCAGCAACTCTGATAAACTCAATCAGCTGAGTTTTGTAAAGTTGTGTCGTAGGGAGAAACGAGTCGGATAAACACATATGATGTGAATAATTCTGAGAACTTTGAAAAAAAGTGAATCATTTCGTTTTATCAACATTTGAACAAAAACAAATCTCGCATTTTATTCCGATTTTCAATTTTAAAACCATTCAAAAACAAGAAACATTCGAAAACAAGAATTCTACGACCAAAAAAAAAAATCGTAGAGTTATCATTTGAGTCAAAAGATCATTTGAGCTAAACACCACAATAACAACAGACCGAACAAAAAACACACACACATATACCCAGCCAATTTATCATTTGTAATAAAAGCGCCGAAATTAATGTGCAAGTTTCACACTGATTACTATTAGCGGGAATACGGTTCGAATCGTGGAAGCTCACAGCTCGTAAATGGTTCCGTTTTTTCTGCTCTGGGCAGTGAACAATGCCGACGAAGAGAAAGAGAGAGAGAGAGACACGAAGAGAAACCCCCACAAAAAGAAAGTCATTAAATTAAGAGTTTTATTTGTGTAGTGGTTGTATGCATGAATTCCCGCTATTAAGGCAATAAAAAAAATGATTCGAATGATCGAATAAAATTCGCGCTTTGGACGGGCGTTTTTAGATTGGATAATCACGGTATAAAATTGCAGTGCCTAGATTGGATTTTCACGGCATGACCGATATGGCTGATAGCAACGTGGTTTGAATTAATATGCAAGAGTGTATGGGCGGGTAGGGGTGAAAATCCAACCGCAGATCCGAGAGAATATCCAGTTTTGAATGAAAAAAAGCGTCGGAATTAATGTGCTCCAAAATTCGAAGTGGCAGAGTTTCGAATACAATTTGCTAGTACATTGATTCAATTCTGAAAAAATTAATTTCACTTTTTTCTCCCCACGTCACATTAACGAATGCAAAAAAAAATGAATTCAAACTCGCACACAGACAGTACAACCACAACGGCAAACGCGAGCAAAAATGAAACAAATGAATGTAAATAAATTTTGGTTTTGCTTGTTGTATGCGTGTGTCTGATTTCTGTTTGTTTTTCTCATACTCGTTGCTGTCACCGTCATTGCTGCTTACTGTCATCGGTTTTGTTCTATGCGTATTATCGTTCGTGATTTCAGCATTTTGATCGTTAAAATTCGATTACCGTGACAACACCACAAATCGACTAAAAACGATTTATTTAGTGTTTCTCCACACTCTCAATCTCTTATCGCTCAAAATGACAAGTGGCAATTTCTGTCTGTGTATGATAAACCCTAGGGGGTAAAATCATTTTTTTCATCTTTTATATCCACACGCATCAAGTAATAACTTAGAAAATCAATGGTATGCATGTAAATCCGAAATATCCACGTATATTCAACAATATTCATCGTGAACGACAAATGAATATTACTGAATATACAAAGATATGTCAAATTTACGTGTATACGTATGAAAAAAAATAGTGAATCAAACCTTCAACCGTAAATTTGAACGATTTTGGTAGATAACGGTGAATATTGGAACATTTTTTGACATTACAGTC